CACACAAAAAAAGAAACCCAGCACAGTAAGATGGCCCGTGGTTTACGGAAACAACGCAGCAAAGGCGCAGTGAAGAACAACAAAAACGCAAAAAGACGAGACGAAACAAAAGTCGAATGGCAGGCTGGTCTCCAAAAGAATGGCAATGGTTGGGTGTATCCGGCACAGCTTGAAACAAGATGGCGCTGTCGGATGGCTTGCACTAGCTGGCCAACTAGAAGTGCTAAAACAACGAGACAAAATGTGGAGGTCTGCGGGCGGGGTGGAATCAGCAGTAAGGAGTGACTGGAGCGTCGCCGCCTCGTCTGTCTTCGGGGGGAGGACAGCAGGGAGAGCTGGGATTGTCGCCAAAAGAATGAAGGCGCGCGCAGCAAGGAGAGTAGGCGATAGGAAAAGTAAGCCAAGGAGAGCACACGCTGGTGGTGAGCGAGAAATGGGCAAGTCGGCCAGATGCGACGGTGCGTTTTACATCTGGACCCTTGTCTTGCCATCCCCTAGACTGGCGAAGAGGCAAAGTCACGTAATCGAGGGATATGCAAGGTACAAGCCCACGGCCCCATTGTCCGTCCATTGATGTGATTGGGCTTGTCTCCATTGAATGATGATCCTCTGGGCTCGGCTCCACTGTCATATTTAATGATGATGAACGGCAGCTGTGTTAAGATCGATTCTTTGGGATTAGCGCACTCGCCGCTCTTGCCAGGAACTGCCTTCTTGTCTCCTTCAATTGTCTTGTGCCTGCTTTATGCAGGACGGTAAATTTCAGAAAATGGACACCAGTTCTCTACGATTGTTACCCCATGCTATCCTGAAGCTATTCGACTCTCAGTAGCTTGGCCTTTGGAAGCTGCTCAAGATCAAGCTGGCTCTGACAACTTAACCAGCCCAACCTCCTCGTATGACCATCTAATGTAGCACCTCTTGCACCTGAATAGGTCAAGCACTAGAACCAGCCACGCGGCCAGGGCCTGGACGCTCTCGCTGACGAAGCCGTCTGCCGAGAGGTTGGTGTAGTTGCTCGTGGCAGGCTGTGAGCCTCAAGTAGTAGGTCGCTTCAACCTAAAAAGAAACGGGGCATAATATGGTTAGTGATATAATGATGGCATCTGTATTATGCAGTTATTACTCTTTAGCTTAAAGCTGTGCTATGGTGGGAAGAGTTATAATTCAAGTGCATTCTGTTCTGAATAGGAAAAGTTGTCATTGTATTTTTTAGTTTCATCATTACAATGAGGTGCAGTCGTCCGGCTAATCACCAACTATTTGCACAAATTAGAAAGCCATCCACTGATCTGCACAGAGCACTGCTGCCTTTATGCCCAATTGCCAATTGCCAAATGTGCCTAGGACCCCTCTGGCGTTTTTTTCACTCAGGGGCACGATCTGCAGGAGCCCGCTGAGACAGAAAAAGTTCTACGGCTCCGAACCGCGGAGGCCTACCTAGTTCTGCTGTCGTCTATTGGGCGAGGAGCCATCCGCTTGCATCATCGTAGCCACTTGACTGGGAGTTGGTTGTCGAACTGCTGACCCCGAAAACTGACAGCTGCCGATCGCCATTAAGAAATGCCCCACGGGGGGGGACCGTTCGCGACGCTTGCTATGGGCAATCGTAGCCAGAATGGCATTTCTATGTTATCCCTCCTACTAATACCCATGTGCGAATGACACAAGGAACAATTTGCTACCATCGACTAAAGACGTTAGACCTCATACGATTGGAGCATTCTCAGCAAAGATCGCTTGTTGCAATCTCATTTGAGGGCATATCGAATCCGCGACAGCGGTTTCCCTGTCCCGCATTGCCTTCCTTTAAAGTCCCACATTGTCACTCAAAAGAGCAAAAAGATGGAAGAAACCAGATGGGTATTTATTTATAGGTTTGGGGATCCCCATCCCACGTTTGATTATTCGTATGATAGTAATTCAACCGCCTCCCTGCAGCTAATCCGTCCCAAAGTCCCGAGGCCGTTCATGTCATGATGAAACTTGATGAAAATTCCCTCTCACAGCTGCCCTTCCTTCGGCGCAAAACCAATTACAACGCCCACCAACTTCCAGCCTCCCCTGCTGGAGGCAATAGCATAATCAAGTAAGATCGAAACGATGGACAGTTTACTTATTTTGCGGAACTGGCGGGGGTGCCGGATACGTGTGATCCGGGTGGTAGGTGTTCTGCGGCTGCTGAACGTTGTTGGGATTGTACTGCTGGTTCCCGTAGTACCCATCGTTGGGGTTGAAGGTCGTGCCTGTGTACTGCGGCGCCTGCGCCCCGTAGGCCGGGGGCGGGTTGTGAACCGGCCCGTTGGTGTAGTAGCCGTTCTGGTGGTTCTGGTAGTCGTGCATGGGATAGCTGTTGTTCTGGCCATCGGGGCCTCCATACTTGCCCACCGGGGCCATCCACCCAGTGCCGTAGTAGGGCCGGGCACCTCTCGCGCGGCGACGGCGAGCGAGGCTACTGTGGTTCGATGGTTAGAATACCATACAGGCTGGGAAACAAGGAGACTGATGCGTTGCACTCACAGGAGAGACATGATGAAGAGGAAGAACAGGAGCAGGGCGAGACCGGCCAGCACCCATCGACCCCAGTAATACCAGCCACTACACCGTACACTGCCACCGCCGTAGTCATAGCAGTAATCGCGCTTGAGGATGCTGGCAAAGCCAGTGCCGTCGGACGGCGTCGTCGCGGACGCTGTCATGATGTGCGAGTGTTGTGCGAGGTTGTAGGACTGAGAGAAAAGGTGATCGGCGGCCAATGGTGCAGCAGTAGAAGAGCTCTCTGGCTGCAAGGCGACGACTAGCGATGGAAGCGATACTACTTTAGCTCGGCGACGGCTTATTGGGTGGGCGCGACAGCCGGAACTGATATTCGCTAAAAGTTGCTTTGTTGGAAATGAAGGAGGTGTCGAGAAATGCAGATGTGTGGGTGGTTTGGGGAGTTTTGTTTTCTCCCTTGACCTCTGCCAAACGTGATTCGATTGCCAAGGAAGGCAGTGTTTCGTTGGTTTGCCCTCTAGCAGAAAATGAGATGGCTGATTCGGCCGCCCTGGGAGAACTGCGAAGACGATTATTAAGACCCGACCAGCACTGAGCAGAGGCTTTGCAGTGATGACGTGGACTCTGTTGTTAGTTGGAGCGTATTGGCTTGGCTCACCTATGGCAGCCTCGAAGCCGGGTTTTTAGTGGATAATCATGTGCTCGAACTCTAATAAGTCAAGGCCTCGCATTTGCCAACTGACCCGATGTCGCTTTGGACGGCGTGTTTCCCGGTTTGGGCCAGACTGAGAGACCTGATGTACGTGTCTTTCGCAAGTGATTCCCTGACTGATTGGCATCCCTTCTCTTGTCATCACTGCACTGACGGCACAGGGTACAGGGCACAGACATGAAACCATGCTGCCATCAAGGTTGGGCGAGAGCTTGGCAGGTATGCAGACCCGCTTAAACTTTAATTATCGTCGACATGCTTTCGTGTTGAGACCAAATGGCCGTCCGCATTGGTTGACAGAAACCTAATATCCCCTACCGTTGGAATCGCAGCCTTTCAATCCGGTGGACAGAACATCCATATGCGATTGAACACTGGAGGCAGGGATCCAGCTGCTAATGCGCGGCCACCTCCCGGCTCGCAGGGTCCATCCATCCTCGATGCGGGGACATGGCATCACTGCGAACTGGGGCAGTGCTTCCACACCACCAAGTCACCACACCACTGCTGCTAGGCTAAAAGCGCTGGAGCCTGACCTCAAGTCAGTGGCGTATTGTGTCGTGGGCATTCCTCCGATGACGCCTCCCGGTTTAAACTGTCACCGGGTTGTTTTCGCCTCGTCCTCGCCATATCTTCCTGCCATCCGAACAGCATTATAGGTATGCTGCCCAGTCGGTGCGGCCTTCTGGCATCGTGGATTTTCTTGAGCTAAGCTAGGTAGACATTTTAAAGTGACTTCTCCACCAAAAGTCCACATCGCATCCGGCGGGCGGTTTTCTAGGCTTGCGGGTTGTTTGGCTTTCATATATCTCATACTCTCATACGAACAAGGCAGTGTCGGATGGGAGGAGGGCGAGATATCGCATCTGTTGGTGATGTGACCTGCACACTGCGCCTTGTCATCGTAGATCGTATAATTTCTCCATAAAAGTGATATTGCTTACTCCCATCATCCAAGGCTTCGGAAATGTCTTGCAGGGTGCGATCGCTTCCCCACAGACTGGGGCCCTGAGTCCTGAACAGGCGATAGCTCACAATCTTTGGGTCGTTCCCTTAGTTTTGGGAAATGTTCAATTCTTCTTTACCATCGTGACAGGGAGGGTGCACGCTTTGTAAAGGTAGTAGTCATTCGTATCATACAATTCGTAGCCTTGCTATTGTGTGCTAGAAAATGCATCTCTCGAACACATGTGTTGTTTGAGTTCCAGCACGGATATCGTTTCCCCATCAATGAATATCTCACCCCCACGCCTATTACCTCTCCTCCCCGCAGGCGAAACCACATCTGGCAGCCACACCCGTCGCTTCCGTGAATCATTTTCAAGGCTTTTGTAGTTGGAATAACCCTTTGGACGCCACGCATACATTGTAGAAGAAAAAAGAACCCAGAGAAAATCAGACCCGCTAAGAGAAAGTGAGGGCAAGACACATCCCACGAAAAATGAACAAACCGTGGCGCATCGACATAACTGCGAAAAGAGAAAGGGGGAAAACTGCTCAGCTGCGCCGACGCTCGAAAATAGCCCATCCGATTTACCAAGTCCAAAGGAAAGAAACACCCCGATGGCATGAGCTAGAAAAACGGCCCAGCGAGTTTCAGGGAAGGGGGAAAGGAGAAGAATCGGCAATCCCCGCCTACTTTTGTTTTGTGCACCCCTACCCCTGGAAGGAGATCAAAACGCCGACATGAAAAGAAAAGTCTGGCCGGAATTTGACTAGGTGTCGAAGATAGAGAGTTCTTCTTGTCCCCAAAAGAAACACCGGGCAGGTATTTCTCTAGAACTCGACATATTTAAAGCCCGGGCTTAGGGAATGAGTATCGATTTCGTCGGAGTTGATCGCTCGTCTTTAGGTTTCGCTCGTTGTTCTGCTGCGCCTGCTGCTTAGCTGCAAGCGCATTGATCTTCTCCCTGGCCTTGAGAAGGCTGCTGTTGTCCTGCTGCTTCAGCTTGGCGCGGATGTCGTAGAGTGCCATCAGAGTGGACGCTCTTTCTAGGTCATCATCAAGCTGCTAACTCATGGTCAGTATATTCGTATAAATGGCGATGGAGCGGACCGTGGGGAGGAAGGTAGGTAGGGGATCGTACATCGGCATCTCCACGTCGTGGGGTACCTGGGACCGAGTTCGTTGCAGAGCCGGAGCGCGACCCGGTGGTACCTGGGATGATTCGGCGTCCAAATCTATCAACGGGGCCTTCGGCGGACAGGGCACGTCTGAGAACAGAAGGTCGAAGGTCTTCAGGAGGGGCGGAAGCTGTGGAAGTGCGAGGCTCGGGGCGGTGAAGGGTGGTGTTTGCGTTGACGATGGCAGTGGCAGTTTCAGCCTCCTAGATGGGAAAAGAGGTCAGCGAAAAAAAGTCTACGTTGGAGTGAGGCAGCTGGGGATGCGGTCGTACAGCGGCGTTGATGTTGCTGAGATCAGCGAGGACTTGGGACAGCTGGAGACTCTCCATTTCCTGAGACAGAGAGTATGGCTCGTATAAGTTTGGTATCGAATGTGAGGATTGATCTTCCTAGCAAACTCATAAGACGGTGAGAAAAGGCTGGGATCCTGAGACCGTAGTGGCGAGAAGTTTGGCAGAGTGTAAACGGTCGGGAGCTGACGGGTTTTTCGTAGGTTTCGAGCTCGCTTTTAGGTTGTGGTGCCAAGGTGGAGAGTAGAGGGGAACGCAGGGTCGGGTGGTGGGGGGGTCTTGGGGGCCTCTCGGGGGAGACCCAGTGGTGACGCTCGCTGTGGAGTGTGCCACCCATACAAAAGGTAGTGCCCAACCTCCACGACAGCAGCGACCGCACCCATTCACTCTGCTATAGGTAGGCTGCAAGCGGTCCTACAAGCGCCCATGTCTGTACTTTTTTTTTTGTCATGGTGTCGTCCCTGGGCAAATGACAGCTGTCTCAATTATCACATTCACTCCCTTACCCAGCTCGTTTCTTATGGGTTGTATCCCTCACCCCTTTTGAAGCCAAATGAGCCCGTCCCAGATCCGCGATTGTCCAGCGATCCAGGGACATTTTCTTCCGCCCATAAAAAGGTAGGATCGGAGCTTTGACCGTTGCCTTCCACACCCAGTCAGCTTCCTGATTCCAAGATGCAGCCTGATTGTTTTCGTCGGACCTGGGCGATCCCGATGAGTGCATCTATACGATTCATCCCCTCGCAAGACTTTCATCGCATGACCTGCCAGCCTGCCCATGAGGCGGGATGCGCAGGAATAGTACTTGGTCTACGTGTAATGTGCTGTCCGTATTTCGATGCGCGATTCCAAAGCTATGTAGCCCCTGGTCGCTGTTGATGCACTGAATCCCGATCTCGGAAACTCGGAGACTCGCTTGCCTGGGGTTCATCATGCCGCATTCATACTTGCGATGGATACCTGCCATCTGATAGATCCCACTGACGCACTCGTACAACATTCAGCCCCTTCGCAATCATGACCTACATCGAGGGAGAATCAGGAAATGAGAGAAAACCGGCGCGTAACACCATGGTGTCAGTATTGAACACATTGAACACACGTCTCAACACACTTCTGAGTCTCACCGTAAAGTTCGTCTTGGTGTGGTCGTGTGCCAGGCAGAGGAAATCCCACAGATTGCCCCTCTTGCTTCCCCTCTTCCAGAAGCTATAGCTAGGTACCTACTAGTATTGACAGGAGGCCACACCGGTAGCTGCAGGCGTGGGTGCCGGTGGTCAGCCAAGAATAACCAAGTGCCTCCGCCCCCCACACTGCACGAGGCCGCAACCAGACCGGACCGAGTTGCAAGATGCAGAACCCAGCCCTCGCCATTGGGCGGCCTGCTACCGGTCGACCGCTCCCACCATGCACTCCAACCCGGGGTGCATGAAAGGGTTCCAGAACCCTGCCGCCTGCCCGTCAGTTGTCGAGGCGTCCAGCCTGCCATCGCCTCACCGGCTGGGTTCATGTGATCTATAGTATTATGAGACGGCCATATGCATCTGATCAACTCCATCTTGGTTGCAATGGTGGTGTGCTGGGCGATGCCGATATCTTCCGCCCATCCCTGGAGCAGCGTGGGAAACCTTGTTGTTGTGGTCTTTTTGGGAATGGATATTCCCTCCCAGGCACCGGTCGCATTTTCTACATGGCCTACCAACCTGATGAGGGGAAGATATGAGCCATTGGCGGGAGGATCTCTTCGTCAGCATAACATTAGTGGCAAAATCGGGAACAACATGCAGTATGTATTCAATACGAGATCTACTGTCTTATTGAGTACATTGTGATGGGCAATAACAACGGATGCTATGGTGTGTCCATTTTCAACGCCACCCAATTGATACGTTGTCCAAGCAGCCCCCTACCTCACTCGATCGCTTACCTGCAGAAATCCGCGACAACATTACAGCCACTGCCCTCTATAATACTTGACCTCCATAATACTTGACCTCCATAATACTTGACCTCCATAATACTTGACCTCCATTTACTACCGGCAGTTGGCAACCGGGATCCCACTCCGGTCTTCAGCTTGCCTCTCCGCGCATGGTGGTCTTGCCAACTGAGCTCTCCACGATAGGCGAGGAGGTGCTGAATTGAATATTTTCCCCGCGATACGAAAAACCCAACCCCGGAATACATGAATCATCAATCCACATCATTAGCAATGAGTATTATTATTGGTTTCAAAACCTGCTACCAAAGTCCTTGCCGCCCATGACAACCAATCAAACGATACATACCTAACCGTGATCGAAAACCGATAGGTCTGTGAGGAACTTCGAGACACTGCCTAGCGGCGCGGGGGGTGTTTTTAGACATCTATTAGAGGCAAGCGATAGATGTCAATAGATATGTACCTATCAACGAAATGAGGCACTCACAGTAGACTAATGTCTAGGCTCTATCAAGCAGGATTTAATATCCAGCAAGAGAGCATTCTAACCTAGAATATTCAATATTACTAGCAGATATCTGGTCTGATCTACCTCTATTTGCCGTTAGTTTGATTGATGAATTACTCATCCTTTTCATCAATCTGATTATGGTGCTGAGGATTGTTTCAATCCGGCTACCTTTGTTGGCAGATTTCTATCAGTTGGCATTTTGTATGGCCTTGCTATCTGTGTGCTCTCTCTATTCCCAGAAACATTGGAGGTTTCTCACCCACTTTCAGAAACAAACGAAGCCACAGAGCAAATCGAGGCTTCAGCTGCCGACAGGGTCCCATCATTCGAAGACCGATTATATACACCGAGACGAACGATAAATCTTGCAAAAACTAGTCTTGCTATATTGGTCAGCAACAGGGCAACGACTGATAAAGTCAACTATACTGACTTTCCCCAACTGTCAAGTCTTGGCGAGCTTGTTCTCAAGGCCGGTATTGACCTCTCTTCCACCTTGAAGTATAGTCGTGAGCGTTGGAGTTTCTGGATCCAGCGGCTGGAGGAGCTACAGAAGTTCGAGATCGAGAATGTTTAGATTTAAGCGAGGGGTTGTTTGGAGGAAATGAGAGAGGCGGCAGAAGATACTGCGCTATTATTGTAGTTTGAGAAAGGGAATCTTGTATTGAAGGCCGTGTGCACATATGAATTAGGTATTGCCCAAGTATTATAGGACACGTTTTTAGCGTGCAGGATGGATGATAAAACATCAGTGATGACTACACGTCCGTTGTGTGTCCGGGAATGCTGAGGAACTAGGATTAAGTCGGATCTTTTGGATATTAAGATTGGACACACAACGATTATAACGATACGCCGACTGGTTTGATGTATAGCTTCTTACTTGGCTATCGCTTCTCTTCGGTCTATTCCCTCGTTTAAGTGAAGTGTTTACCCGTTCATGTCACTCATTTGGTGCTCCGTTCGTGATGTACATTCATAACATTGAGTATTCATTTAGGAGCCTAACCAGTAACTCTGGAGCCAAACCATTCTCGTTTAATCGCGCCGTAACCCCGTGTTTTTTTTTGTCGCTTAAGACTTAGTAATTCTGCAGACCAGGTCGGATCCATCAACAGAGTCTCCTTCCCTGACCTGCAAGCCTGCCACCTTTCCGCTGTGAGGGGCGGAGATGACCATTTCCTAGTGTATTGTTAGCGGTTTTATTCCATGCAGTCAGTTTTGTAGGTAGATGTAGGTTGAAGCTTACCATCTTCATGGCTGAGAGGACAGCAAGAGGGTCGCCCTTCTTGACATCGTGACCCTCATGGACTCTGAGCTCGACCAAGACACCGGACATGGGTGCACCGACTTGGCTAGAGTCAGTGGGGTCGGCCTTGGGTCGGCTGACGTTCTCAACGGCAGCCTTCTTGTCAACGACAGTGACCTGTCGAACCTCTCCATTCATCTCGAAGAAGACCTCACGCTGACCAGTGTTCTCGCTCAGAGGACCAACAGCGAGGAGCTTCAGGATAAGGACCTTGCCCTTCTCAAGCTCAACGTGGAACTCCTCGCCAATCTCGGGCCTGGAGAGGAAGTACCTGGTTGGAAGAACGGACAAATCGCCATACTGCTGAACGAACTTCTTGTAGTCCTCAAAGACCTTGGGGTACATGACGTACGAAGCGATGTCGCACTCAGTAACCGGAGCGCCGAGCTTCTTACCCAGCTCACGCTTGACCTTGACAAAGTCAACAGGGTCCAGGAACAGTCCAGGTCGCTTGTCAAGCTTGCGACGACCACGGAGCGCGTCGCTACGCAGAGGCTCAGGGAAGCCACCAAATGGTTGACCCATGAGACCTTCGAAGAACTCGAGAACGGATCCAGGGAAGTCGAGTTCCGAGGCACGAGCACGGACATCGTCCTCGGAGAGCTTGTTGGAGACCATGAATTGGGCAAGATCACCAACGACCTTGGAAGTAGGAGTGACCTTGACAATGTCGCCAAGGAGATCGTTGGCATGCTCGTAAGCCTTCTTGGTCTCGAGCCACTGAGAACCAAGACCAAGTTGAGAGGCCTGGAACATCATGTTGGTCAACTGACCACCAGGGATCTCGTGCTCGTAGACCTCAGGGTCAGGACCGGCAAGGTGAGCCTCGAAGGGAGAGTATAGAAGACGGAGCTGCGACCAGTAGGTATCCAGAGCTCGGACTTGTCTGGGGTCAAGGCCAGGGCTGTACTCGCTTCCCTCAAGGGAGGCAAGGATGGCATTGATGCTGGGCTGAGAAGTCATACCAGACAGACTGTCAGTGGCGGCATCAACAGCATCAGCTCCAGCCTGGGCACAGGCAACCATTGACGCAACACCAGTTCCAGCAGAGTCGTGAGTGTGAACGTGGATAGGCAAGTCAGGGTACTTCTTACGGATGTTGCCAATCAGGAGGGTGGCAGCGTGGGGCTTGAGCACACCGGCCATATCCTTGATACCAAGGACATGGATATCAAGAGCAACAAGCTTGTCAACGAGAGCCAAGTAATACTCAAGATTGTACTTCTTAGTGGGGTTCTATTGAAAGGTTTGGTTAGTTTAGTTCCAAAATAAAGCCT